ATTGGCACAGGACAGAGAGGAGTTTAGGGCTGTTGTACATAGGGTCGCTATGAGTCGCAGGCGACTCGACAGCACATAACAACAACAACAACAACCCGTAGCTTGCAGGCTCCACACTTAGAGCTCTAGATATTTACAGACTTTCAGAACTAATTAGCCAAGCTTTGCTTTTTTTTTTTTTTTTTTTTAATTAAAAAAGGCTAAGGTTTAAAGCAGGATAGCAGGGTATTCATTTTCAGTGAGGGAGATTACCTAGTCACTTACATGAGATTAAAACACCTGTATGTGAGAGGACAATGTATGGAAAATTCTGCTTGGTTGCAAGGAAGGTGAGGAGAGACTAGTACCAAGGATAGTTTCATTTTGGGTTTTGAGGAGTGAACCCTTCTCTGCAGCAGTGACCAAGACCACCTTTGCCTCAATCTTTTTGATTCAATCATGCCAATGGATTTCAAGTCTTGTCTTTTTTTTAAATTTTTTTTATTTTATTATTTTTGTGTGAGTGTACCATCAAATCAGATCTGACTGGTACAGGAGGAGATTGTCCCTCCTTCCCCGGCAGAGCATCTCGTGGATTCGAACCGTGCACCTCTGGGATTGTAGTTGCAGCTCCTTGCCACTAGGCCACCAGAGCTCCCCAAGTCTTGTCTTTTTTAATGTCTTTATTGAGATAAAGCTCACAGGCAGTAAACCTTTGCAGTTTTGATTTGATAATAAACATGAAGTGCACAAATTGTAAGCATATGATTTGAATTTTATTTGCATAAGCATCAATGAAAAGCCACTGTAACATGATACTGAGTATTTCTGGATGTTCCTTTGTAATCTAGCCCTCATTTTCTCAACCATTCTCAGGCAACCACTGCTCCACAGTTTGTCACTGTAGATTTTGGACTGAGCATGTTTTATTATTCCATATTCATCTCATTTATTGATTTACTAATTATGCTGCTTTGATTTAGCTTTAGTGGTTGCTTTAATGTTTGCAGGGAGCTCTGGTGGCCAAGTGCATAGGGAGTTGTGTTGCTAACCCAAATGCTGAACCTCCTTGGTAGCTCAGATCACCACTGGTTCTGAGGGAGAAAGATGGACAGTCTTTGGTGGTTCAAATCCACCAGCTCCTCCAAGGGATAAAGATGGGTTGTCTCCTCTGTGTGTGATTCATAGCCTCTGAAATCCCACTGAAGGGTCAGCTGTGAATCACTTCTGACTAGACAGTAATAAGTTGAGTTTACTTCAAATAATATATATCGCTGATTTTATATGTTTTAATTTTTATGTCCCTTCATGTGTATTTTCTGCTTGGAGTCTATTTGAATTATTGGATATGTGAGATTATAATTTTCATCAAATTTGGGAATTTTTTTATCTATTATTTCTTCAAATTTTTTTTTCTTTCCCCCTCTTCCAGAAACTAATATTTAAGGTCACTTGACATTATCCCACATCTTCCTTGATGCACTGTTCACTATTTTCAGTCCTGTTTTCCTTCTGTTTTGTGTAGTTGCTGTTCTATCATCAAAGTAGTTCACTGATCTTTTCTTCTACACAACTGGCTCTTAGGGAGCACTAGTGGTTGAGTGGTAAGGAGTTGTGCTGCTAACCGAAAGGTTAGTGCTTTAAGTCCACCAGCCGCTTCTCCCGTGTGATTTGCTGCCTCTGAAAACCCTCTGGAGGGTCAGCTATGAGTTGGTTCTGACTCAACAGCACATAATAACGACAGGCTGCTTTTAATCCTACCCAATGTATTTTTCATCCTAAACAACCCTACATTTTTTCATCCTTTTTTTTTTCTCTCATCCTTTTTTTTCATGTTTGGAGATCTGACTTACGATTTTCTCTATCTCTTTGAATGTGTGGAATATAAAATAACTATTCTCAGGTGGTGGATTCAAACCACATGCTTTTGGGTTGACAGTGCAACTCCTTTTTTAAAAAGACATTGACCATTCCCTTCTCATTCTCAGTATCATACTAAGCATGTTAATCCAAACAATTATTTCATCTGATGAAATAAAGAACATTATTTTTTTCATGTATGTCTTGGTTCAGTTTATGCCTAAACATATCACATGTACTTGGCTTTACTCTTTAGGTAAAGTGAGAATATTGATTGCTACTGACTTAGCTTCTCGAGGCCTCGATGTCCATGATGTCACACATGTCTATAATTATGATTTTCCCCGGAACATTGAAGAATATGTTCACAGAGTGGGGCGCACTGGAAGAGCAGGGTGAGTAAACACAGTCTACTCCTTTTTTTTTCCTTGTTGTGTACCATCAAGCTGGATCCGTCTGGCACAGGAGATTGTCCTTCCTTCTCCAGTGGAGCATCTGGTGGATTCGAACCACATGCCTTTGGTATTACAGTGCAAGTTCTTGCCCCTAGGCCACCAGAGCTCCCTCACAGTCTACTTTTAAAATGTGAATTTCAATCTTCATGACTCCCTTACACACAATCATTGCCTCCTAAACCATTGTGTTCTTTTACTGTACATTGACTGCTTCTTCCCAGAAACTGTTTGCGTTTCAACTGGGTGGCTCCAGGTTCAACCAGATCCCTTCATGGTTAGCCTCATGAACTACGTCTGATTCCGCCTTTGCTTCTTATCTATGTTGCTATTGTTGTTGTTGTGCCATCAAGTCAGAACCCACTCATAGCTGACCTTACGGAGAGTTTTCAGTGGCAGTTAATCCCAAGGAAGGAGATTGCCCATCTTTCTTCTTCAGTGAAAGTGGTAGATTCAAACCCAATGCTTTGGTATTGCAGGACAGCTTATTATCACTAGGTCAACAGAGCTCCCTTATCTTCTTAGAACCAGAGCCAAGGAAGAGGAGATAGAAGATTTTTACCAACTTTTACAATCGGAGATTGATCAAACATGCAACCGAGATGCATTGATAGTAATGGGTGACTGGAATGCAAAAGTCGGGAACAAAGAGGAAGATTCAGTAGTTGGAAAACATGGACTCGGTGACAGAAATGGAGCTGGAGAGAGAAT